TTTTATGAAGTTTCCTTTTATGACCCCGGCTTTTCTTTCGGGTTCTAATTAGTGTTTTTAGACCCAGCCCGGTCCGGTCAGTGAATCGATTGAACCGGACCTGAGCTTCAAAACGGGCCGATTGATGATTTTGGCCCGTTTTAACCCGCTAAAACCCGCCAGCTTGCTAAGCCCGTTGAAACCGCTTCACCCATTGGGCTGAAAATTAATTGAGATTTTTATTAGTTTGAATGTTAATTAAATTTTTTTTTAATATAATTTACCTATTTTATCTCTTTTTTTTTTATGTTAATACAATAAAAACCATACACTTAAATTACAAATTAAGATATGAGATCAATTAAAAAAAAAAAACCCAAACAGATCAGTTTTCTTGCCAATCTCACTGCAAAAGTAACAAAAATCAAAAGAGGCAAAAGAGAGCAGGGGAAGAGAAAAATAGGCGGTGCCACTCACCACTTACCACCGTCGGCCTATGCTTGAGATTTAAGCAACCTTCGTCGTCGACGGCTTCCAATCCAACCCTTTTCCATTGTACAGAAGCAAAACTAGAAAGCAAGCTTTTCATTTCTGTGCAAAAGCAAAACCCAGAGGTACATAGCAGAAACAAAATAGATCAAGCAAAGTCATCATCGACCTCAGCCTTCACCAGTCACATCCCTCTTCCCGATCTCAGCCTTCGCCGGTCACATCCCTCTTCCCGATCTCAGCCTTCGCCGGTCGCATCCCTCTTCCCAATCTCAACCTTCGCCGGTCACATCCCTCTTCCCAATCTCAGCCTTCGCCGGTCACATCCCCCTTCTCGATCTCAGCCTTCGCCAATCACATCCCCCTTCTTCTTTCACCGACCTCAACCTTTGCCGATCACATCCCCTTTCTTCTTCTGTCGACCTCAGCCTTCGCTGGTCACTCTCTTCAACCAACAAAACGATTTGACGATTTGTGTAATGTTAATTAAAATCTAATAAAAATGTAAAAAAAAAAAAAAACAATTTTTTTAATCAATCAATTGGATCAATTAGGTGAATTGGTTCAACCAATTCAATCGGACTCAATGATCAAAACGGATCAACCATCGAACCAGGTCCAAAAACATTGGTTCTAATGATTCGGCCAAGACCTTTAAATGTTTGAATTTATTAATTGGAGTTTCAAATTTCACTTGCGCCTTGAAAACCTATTCTCTTTTTCTCAAAATTATACATTGTTAAAAAAAAAAAGTTTCATTTCATGGGAATTGGAAAGCAAGAATTGTTGAATAGGAATAGTTTTTGATGTCAAGGGTTGATAAATGTTTTATAATTAAATATAATTTAAATTTCAAATTATATTATTAGCTATATGATTGAATAATTTGTATTTTTAATTATAAATTTAAAATTTAATTTTTAATCTTTGTACAGAAAAATATGATTTAAACTTAAAATTATATATATATTTTTTCCCAACAAAGCTTTTATTGTCTGTATAACTACTTTTTCTTTATTTACCAAGTATATCTGCCTTTTACAAAATCAAATCTCAATATTATTTTCTTTGTACAAGTATATGAATTTATTTGGAAAATAATTTAAAGATATATTTTTTTGTATTATGTTTTAGTACAATTTTATTTATCATTTAAATAATTAATTATTTTTATTTATTTAAAACTTATGATACTGAATGTATATATTTATTTAATAATATTTTAAAATTGTATAAAAAAATAATATAAAAATATTATTTATATATCACCACCCTTGTCAATTCGTCTTATGTATTGTAAAATGGCAATCAAAATATAAGGCTTAGACAAACCCTTATAATATGAATAATGATAAATGAAGGTGAAATTTAGGACTAATGATATAGTATAAATTATATCATTTAAAATATTAAAATATGAACAATATATTATCTAATGATTGGCTTTTTTTATTTTTTTAAAACTTATGATATTTTATATATCAACTAATTTAATGATGTACCTTATATTACATCATTAATATTAAATTTTTGTCTCAAAATTTTGTTTTCTCTATCATTATTCTTATAATATATTAAGATTAAAAGCAATGATCTCCTCCTTTCCTCTTATTTGAATAAGTAAATAAATTAAAAGATAAAAAATAAAACAAAGGGATATCTTCCCCTCAACTTTTCTCTATTTTTTTTTATAACTAAATTAAAAAAAAAAAAAATTTCCCTCCTCCCGTCCCATCCCCTCCATTCCATCCAAGCCAAACATGTATTTAATTCAATCTCAATTATCTCTCCTAAATATTGTTGACTAAAAATTTAATGACCCTAGTAACAAATTTGAAATAAATGCCAGTAGTAAAAAATTTATGAATCTACAAGCTTCAATTAATAAGAATTTGAATTTAAAGCTTATTATAATCCCTATTACATAAGCTTCAATGTCCACAAAATATTTTCTTATAGGAGTGATGAAATCTTTGATCCTACAACTTTTAAGATTCTATAAACATAGGAGTAATTTATTTTGAAAACTTTAAAAAATAATATTCACTTTTTCCATTAAAGAAATTTTTCTATAGATCAAGCAAACACTTAATACTAGATTAAATCTACTTCTATAAATCCTATAATCCAATATGTCATAAGGACCTCTATCATATACTTAACATTATAGTTTTGAACTTACCTAAAAAGAATTATAATTTTATAGCGTACAAATACCAAAGTACTGTTACAAAATCTTGAAAGAGAATATCTCATAGGGAAGTTTTGCAAGCACTCCCATAGTACTTTTAAGTTTTAATCTACTACATCAAATACTTCTTATTAGGTGTTTGCTATAAATGTTTGAAATTAATGATTAATAACTTTATCTAATCCAATACATAAAATTATTTTGAATTATTAATAGAAATAATTAGACAAAAACCCTTTTTAAGCCTCTAAACTTATTCTAAAATAGCGTTTAAGCCCCTAAATTAAAAATAAAATAGAGAAACCCTCCAACTCCAATAATAATGTAAATAAACCTCGTTCACAAATGGACGAAACGGGTATTTTATATTTAATATCACATTGAAAGCTAATACCCATGAATAAAAAGGGTTTATTTACATCATTAATAGAGTTGAAGGACTTATTTGCTTTATTTTTAATTTAAGGGCTTAAATACTATTTAAGGATAAGTTTGAGAGTTTAAGAAGGCGTTTTTACCAAATAATTATCAACCAAAACCGCTAGCCTTAATTTCAAATCATAGAAGGTCTTTGGCCCTAAACTAAACATGGATAGATTTTTTTCCAAAATTCCGTTTTTAATACCCCATAGTAATAAATAAAGATAGATTTTTTCTGAGATTTACAGTAGATTTTTTCTGAGATTTACAGTATAGATTTTTTCTGAGATTTACAACCAAAGCCAGACTGTTGATTAGCTGTGATTTTTATTTACCAAAAACGAAATTTGCATTTTTTTTAATTAAATAGAAAAAACTTCGGAATTTTTACCAACTTTTACTGCGAAAAACAATAGACAATATTCTATATATCGTTAATAATTAATTGCTTTTCTAGCTTGTCGTCGGTCAAAATTCAATGTCACAAATCCTATTTTAACCGAACCTTAATCGCACACGTGGCACAATCTCATTGCTGGAAACAAAATCTAAATATCTTTTATGCTCAAGAACGGTCCTGATAGCTTCTTGGATGAACCAGATTTAATCCTAACCGTCGAACAAAATTTCCCAAAAAATGGTTGATCTTTGACTAAATAAGGGTATTTTAGATAATTTATCCTGCACAAAATCTCGGCATACGTGTATGATATGGCAAACGGAAAGCCTATAAATACCTCGTAGGGGGAGTCGGGGAGAGGGAGGAGTAGTCTGGTTTTTGAATATCGGATCGGGATTGAAGAGTTTCCCGGTGGAGGACGACGGAGATGGTGAAAGAATCTGTGAGGAAGTGCTCACATTGTGGACACAATGGCCACAATTCGAGAACCTGTAACGGGAAGGCCGGCGGATGCATCAAGCTCTTCGGCGTCAATATAGCGTCGGAAAAGCAAGAGCTGTCGATCAAGAAGAGTTTTAGCATGGGGAATCTGCAATCCCTTGCGGAAAATAAGGCGTCGGTGGAGGAAGACGGTTATCTCTCCGACGGACAGATTCACTCTAAGAGAAACAGAGCTGCTCACGAAAGAAAAAAAGGTATATATATATACATATAATTTTGCTTTTTTAATAATTTTTCATGCAGTTTGATCTGGAATATATATATACCCTGTATTATTCATTGGATTTTTCGTTTACTTTTGATGAATTTAGGCTTTTTAATCTTTTATTAAGAATGGGAGTTGAGAATTGATTTTTTGTTTTACAATTAATATTCTATGATCATAAAATGCTTTTATCAGCAATTTTTTTTTGAACATAGGGGAATTTTGGGGGAGAGGGGATTAGAACCAAGGTCATAGCCTTGGAATATACACACCCTATCCACTGCATCAAGTGCTGCGGGTGTGTGCTTTTATCAGCAATTTATTCTCTAAAAGAGAAGAGAGATACATATGTATAAGTTATTTGGATCGGGGCAAAGATTGCAATGAGATAATTTTCTATGAAATTTCTTCTTTTTTTTTTTTAAATAAGCAATGATGAAATCTTATAATTTAAATAGATAATTTAAGATATTAATCATGACTTTATTAAAAAATAATTCTTTTAAAATATTAATATCATGTACATTTGAAAGTTTTGTAATTAGATAATTATGTATTTTTTTTTTGTAAAGTGTACTCCTAATCTTAAAATTTATGTTCGAATTCCTCTCCTTTTATTGTAATATGTTTTAAAAAAAATTCTTAATGTCATGTCTTCAATTAACGAGACTGTCGCTACACAATTTTTTTCTTAAAAGAGCGTGCATGCCCTGCCATTAAGAATCCCCTGCCTTAGGAGCAGGCGCCAACAACCCGAGTTTGGCAAACAGGGTGGGTCTAGTGCCCTCCTTTCCATCTTCTCTGTTACAGAGGAATTCTTTTCTAATTGGAGAAAAAAAAAAAAAAGAAGAAAAACTCTTTCAATCCTAAACCAGATTTTGATGTTTACAATATTGAAATATATGGTTTTCTTGTTTTTTGTTGTATGAATTGGGAATTTGAGATTGATATTGACATTAACAAAAGACTGACATATGTGGAGTCTATTATTATCTTTCTCAGGGAAGCCATGGACTTCGGACGAACATAAAATATTTTTAGCAGGATTGCAGGCACTGGGAAGAGGGGCTTGGAAGGAGATCTCAAAGAATTTTGTGATTACCAGGTCACCTACCCAAGTTGCGAGCCATGCCCAGAAGTACTTCCTCAGGCAAGCTCCCAATGACAAGAAGAAGCGTAGATCAAGCCTATTTGACATGCCTCTAAAAGAATCTGTA